AACTACAATAGGCGTATGTAATGATGACAGACAGACTGACTGACCAGGCTATCAAGCAGGAGGTCTTGCCTGAGACCAGGCTGTGTGTAATGATGACAGACAGACTGACTGACCAGGCTATCAAGCAGGAGGTCTGGCCTGAGACCAGGCTGTGTGTAATGATGACAGACAGACTGACTGACCAGGCTATCAAGCTAGAGGTCTGGCCTGAGACCAGGCTGTGTGTAATGATGACAGACAGACTGACTGACCAGGCTATCAAGCAGGAGGTCTTGCCTGAGACCAGGCTGTGTGTAATGATGACAGACAGACTGACTGACCAGGCTATCAAGCTAGAGTCTGGCCTGAGACCAGGCTGTGTGTAATGATGACAGACAGACTGACTGACCAGGCTATCAAGCTAGAGGTCTCGCCTGAGACCAGGCTGTGTGTAATGATGACAGACAGACTGACTGACCAGGCTATCAAGCTAGAGGTCTCGCCTGAGACCAGGCTGTGTGTAATGATGACAGACAGACTGACTGACCAGGCTATCAAGCTAGAGGTCTCGCCTGAGACCAGGCTGTGTGTAATGATGACAGACAGACTGACTGACCAGGCTATCAAGCTAGAGGTCTCGCCTGAGACCAGGCTGTGTGTAATGATGACAGACAGACTGACTGACCAGGCTATCAAGCTAGAGGTCTCGCCTGAGACCAGGCTGTGTGTAATGATGACAGACAGACTGACTGACCAGGCTATCAAGCTAGAGGTCTGGCCTGAGACCAGGCTGTAGGAGCAGTGATCATCATAGCCATCAAGATGTAGAACAACAGATACAATAATCATGTAATAAACAACATGATAAGCAAGCTTTTGCAGATCTCTGAAGTTAGAGAGAGAATCTTTGTTTGATAATTATTGTCAATTAGTGCTCTGTTCTTGTCTTTGTTATTTAGAGTATGTTGAGCTATCACTTATTAGCCTGAAGTGTAGAGAATATTGGTTAATAGTGATTTGCTCCTGTCACAGTATTGTGACTTATTCTTCATGGTGAGCAGTGCTGTATGAACCTTGTAGGTTTAGTACTTAATTCTTTCTTTCTTTCAACACACCAGCCGTATCCCACCGAGGCGGGGTGGCCCAAAAGGAAAAACAAAAGTTTCTCCTTTCACATTTAGTAATATATACAGGAGAAGGGGTTACTAGCCCCTTGCTCCTGGCATTTTAGTCGCCTCTTACAACACGCATAGCTTACGGAGGAAGAATTCTGTTCCACTTCCCCATGGAGATAAGAGGAAATAAACAAGAACAAGAGCTAGTAAGAAAATAGAAGAAAACCCAGAGGGGTGTGTATACATATGCTTGTACATGTATGTGTAGTGTGACCTAAGTGTAAGCAGAAGTAGCAAGACGTACCTGAAACCTTGCATGTTTATGAGACAGAAAAAACACCAGCAATCCTACCATCGTGTAAAACAATTACAGGCTTACGTTTTACACTCACTTGGCAGAACGGTAGTACCTCCCTGGGCGGTTGCTGTCTACCAACCTACTACCTAGGTAGTACTTAATTATGATTGTAATAATAATAATAATAATAATAATAATATGATAATAATATAATAATAATTTGGAGGGATGTCTAAGCTGTTGTATCTGAGTGCCTCTGCAGAGACACTGATTATGTATGAGTGATGGTGAAAGTGCTGAATAATGATGAAAGTGTTTTCTTTCTTTTTGGGTTTTTTCTTTCTTTTTGGGTTTTTTCTTTCTTTTTGGGTTTTTTCTTTCTTTTTGGGTTTTTTCTTTCTTTTTGGGTTTTTTCTTTCTCGGTGGGAAACAGCTGATGTGTTAAAAAAATTATAATAATAATATAATAATAATCCTCCCGGTGAGGAATTCTGTAACTTTTTCCTGAAAAGTTTATTAGCTTTTCCAAGGTTTGCATATGTGTATCTGTAGTTTTACATATATTTCAAGAAGAATTAGATGAACAGTTGTGATTATTGTAAATTTTTATCCTTGAACACAGGAAATACGTATTTACTTTATATATTTTTTAGATGTCGCAACCTGAAGGACTACATGGTTCTGGCTGAGAAGATAAAGAAAATGTTTCATGAGGAAGGTATTCATTCCACTACCATACAACCAGAATTTGTTGAATTTGAGGACGACGGTGCCTCTGCTTCCATCGATTCTGCAGAAGACTGTATCCTAGATTGCCCTTCTAACGATAAAGAGGGTTGTGTGGCAAACACCTGCTGTGGGCTCTCCAAACAGGTAATAAGTGCTTCCAGACAAAGTTTCAATAGCATCAAGCAAAAACGAGTGACTTCCCCAGCTTTAACAGAATTGCAGCTTGAAAGGAAAATGTCCCGCAGCCTACCCAATGTCTATGGGGCTTGTGCATGTTACCCACCTAGGGTGTCCCCTGATGCAACTGCTATTGCTTCTGTTGATAATGCTAATGCTTTTAGTCACAGTCCCCAACAACTGACACATTCTCAGCTTTGCTCAGCTTCTGATGTGGAAAATTCTGTTAAACCCTCACCAGTCACAAGTGATGCTCTAAGTAGAAACACAGTTGGTGATTCTTGCCAGTGTCTTGCTTCAAGTGTGATCCAGATTGAAAATTCACATCAATGTATTCATCATGCAAGTGATATATATAACCATGTGAATGATTTTCAAAAGAACCTCCAAAATACTCTTAATATAAATAGAATTACACAGCAGAGTAGTTACATGTCTTCAATAGCAGTAGCGATTGAAGACAATGACTCCCAAGTGGTTTCTGATTCAGTGAGACTTTCCTAACTGCAAGTTTGCAAATCTGAAACTTTTTGTACTCATTTTAACAAAGACCTTGTATATAGAATACCATGATTATTAGTGTTTCATCTGTCACATTTACATAATATAATACTGCCAGAAACTTGGTGTGTGTGTGTTCCAAACAGAAATATGTTAATATTACCATGTAGTATTTATTTGTATATGCAGATTATTTAAGTTTATGAAATAATTACGATGACCTATTTATAACGTTGTAAATACCTTTTTGATTTGTATATATAGCAATATATTCTCTTCCTCAGGGAAGTTTGATATAAATTACTTTTATTATTTTACTAGTCTGATTCATTGTCAATTATTTCATTATTTTGATTTAATTTGGCAACTCTGAAATATGTTCACTCTATTGTTTATTTTGAAAGATTAATACATATAACACAGTAGCTTTAAGAATGCAGTAATTCCTAGTGAGATTTATTATCTGTATATCATTATTTTTAGAGTTGATAATTGTAATAAAACAATAAATATGACCAAACTTGAATCAAAAATTCACTTTTATCACTCACATGGTCAATAGTGGCAGCTTCGATGTCAAGTAGAATTGCATATTATTTAAATTAATTTTATAATTTCTTAAAGATTAAATATTTTTCCTGATAATAACTTGAGTGTCATTGTCTGTAATGAGGCTTAAGTCAATGTCTTCAGTGTACGATACTTGACTTTTTTGCTGTTGTATTAACTTGTTAATTTTGTAATGGAAAAAATCCTGAAAATCGTCACCTTATAAATAAAATTAGACATAAACATTGTAAGAAATAGAACTATTAATGTCCTGTTTGTATTGATTTTGCTTTGTAAATCCAAGACACATAGACATGATTTCACTTTTGTGTTTTATACCACTCAGTGTCTTTACTATATTCTATAATCTGTCTATTGCATATGGAGTTTATTGAAAGCAAATATATGAGGACATTCTGGGGGGAAAAGGTGGATGGAAGTAGTGTAGGGAATGTCTGGAATGTGTTGGGAGAAGGGTGTGAAGTGCACTATTTTGAGACTGAAGGTTCATCATTAAATGGGTATGTATGAACCTATTAGTCTATGGTATTTGGTGCATGAACAAACTAATACTATCTGTCAAGAGACTTGGAGTTTAAGCAGTTGAGAATTATATTGGTTCCACTATGAAAGTAGTGTGGGGTTCAAGGGTCGGCATTAGAAGGCAGAGTCTTTTCTTCAAGTTGTTGTCAACTTAGAGCAGAAAGACTCGGGAAACTTCAGTCCTGAGCTACTGGTAAATTCTTAAAAGGCAAGCACCACTCAAGTTCAGCATTCAGATCACTGAGTCCATATGGTCATTGACTGCCCCTTCTTCATGTGTCTGTAAGCACACTGTCTTGCTGTGCCTCTGCTCCTGTCAAGATTTTCTCTTGACTAGTAATGAGGCTCAGCATACACTTGGATCAGTATTCAGACAGATTATTCATTTAGTAGTATCAACTAAATCTCACCTTTGCATAGTAGCAAGTAGGCTATTTTGACCTTTTGACAAGATGGTAGACTGCTATTGCATTTTACCATAGTCACATAGGTGATTGATGGAGTAACCCATGTGCCAGTAAATTCTCATCAGACTTCCTTGAAGGGCAGACTCCTTTGGAGGAGGGAATGGGGAAGTGAGATGGTAGATTATGGTCTTCATTAATACCTTGGGCCTTGTTGGCTGGGTTGTCCCATCCTCGGGGTTTCCCATGCCAAGGTGGCCATGTATCTTTTTTGCATGGAGACCCATATATTGCGTGTGTGTCTGCTTGCTTGGAAACTAAGCCTACTCTTGGAGCTGCAGCCAGTCACTGGGCATCACACTTTTTCTGTGAGTGCATAGAGGTAAAATAGAAGTTTGGTGTTGACTTTGTTGAGTCAAGCATGTCTTGCATTACTTCTTCATGATCAAGTGATGAGTTGGAGGCTGGAAACCAAGTGCACTTGTGCCTACAAATTTGCATGTACATCAAAATGGTATACAATACCGACAGGTTGTTAGGTAAGACACTTATGCAACAGTTAGACAACTTTATTCCGAAACGTTTCGCCTACACAGTAGGCTTCTTCAGTCGAATACAGAAAGTAGGCAGGAACAGTAGAGATGTGAAGACGATGTAATCAGTCCATCACCCTTAAAGTCGTAGAATTTGAGGTTGTCAGTCCCTCGGCCTGGAGAAGTTCAGTTCCAGGCCGAGGGACTGACAACCTCAAATTCTACGACTTTAAGGGTGATGGACTGATTACATCGTCTTCACATCTCTACTGTTCCTGCCTACTTTCTGTATTCGACTGAAGAAGCCTACTGTGTAGGCGAAACGTTTCGGAATAAAGTTGTCTAACTGTTGCATAAGTGTCTTACCTAACAACAAATTTGCATGTGCAAAGAATGGGACAAGTTATGCTTTCATTGGCCCCAGGAAACTTAAAAATATGCAAGTAACACAAGATTGTATCTGCTTGATGAATTTTGTTTCAGATTTGGGTTTATTTTGTATTTTAGAGACTCAGTCTCTGTAATATGTTTAAATCTGTTTTTTTTTTTTTAAACACGCTGGCCATATTGCACCAAGTCAGGGTGACCCCCCCCAAAAAAAAGAAACACTTTCACCATCATTCACATTACCAGTGTTTTGCAAGAGGCGTACAGATGTGACAGAATAACCAGAATAAAGGATTTTGTCCTTGGACAAAACCTATTGATTGGTTTTGGTTTTCAAATTAGGAGGTCATGCACCAAGCCTAAAAGTAACCATGGGAAATATATTATATTCACGAGTTGTTCATCAATAAAAAAATGTTGGATAACTTGAGACCCTTAATAAATAAGGATGTCTCCAAATTTTTAAGGATGATTGTACTTCAGGAAGCCACACAGCCCATTGCTCTTACCAACTCCACTTGGAAATTGCCATTTAAATAATCAAAATAATAATAATTATAATGTCTAGGTGGTACTATAATTATTAAGACAGGACAAGAAATAAACATTGGTGTCTTACATGCATGACTGAATGCAAATAAAAGGTATCAGAATATAAAACACTATACTTGAATCTTCAAGCTATACAGTAATAATGTGAACTTTAAATAAGTTGAAGAGCACTGAACATGATGGTAATTTTACTTAATATGTTTCCTAACATATAGTTTGAGTTACTATAATATATATGTGCAACAAGATCACAGTAAATAGGTGATATCACAATATGTAAAACAACCACTGAAAAAATAGTGGACATCCAAGCGCTTTCGTGATTTCTCACATTATCTGTGGTGGAGGGAAGGAGGGGTAGGGATCATCCTAGGGAAGGGATGAAGGAGGTTTTGTGTGCAAGGGACTTGGACATACAGTAGGCATGTATGAGCGTGTTAAATAGGAGTGAGTGGAGACGAATACTTTTTGGACTTGATGAGTTGTTGAGTGTGAGCAGGATAATATTTTGTGAAGGGATTCAAAAGGGAAACCAGTTTAGCTGGACTTGAGCCCTGGTGGGAAGTACAATGTCTGCACTCTAAACTAGTGGTTTGGGGTATTGGTTGTTTAGAGTGACATCTAAACTGTTGTATCTGAACGCCTCTGCAAATACAGTGATAGTGTGAGTGATGGTGAAAGTGTTTTGTTTTTTTAGCCCACCTTGCTTGGTGGGAGACGGCCACCAGCATTTTTAAAAAGATTTTATATTTATTTATTTTGAAGTAGCAGTAGTGATGACAATATTTGAAACCCAGAACTTGTTACAAGTTATATTCCATACCATGCTATCTCTACTAATTGTAAACCATTTTTCTAGTTATATTTTTCCTGCTTTTTTATATTTAGCTTTAGTATTGTTGAAATGGTGTGCATGCAGCGGCCTCTTTCCAGCAGTGTGTGATAATGTGTTTCATGCAAATATATCACTTATCTTTTTTTTTTTCATAATTTTTTAATTCACTATTGCAGAGTTTACTTTTAGCACTCAACTATGGCACCTATGCATGAGATGACTTAGGGTGATTCTCTCTTGTGTGAGGTTTTCCTGGTCATGGTAAAAAGTTTCACAAGTTTTGATAAACCGTTTTCATGCTTATTGTTGTACCTTTTTCTCTCTCAGTGCCAAAATTTAACATGGGATGCTCTCTCTGGCTTTTTTCATTATTACAGACCATTTTTACACTTTTAGTTACTATGTTCCTATGCTACCTTGCTTTGTTTCCCCAGTCATTCCTTGGGACCCTCACCTGCTGCTTATTTGATGGTGTGTTCTTGAATGTGCAATGGTGACCCACCTTCATTGGTTTAGGGCATTTCATTATTATTATTATTTTTTATTTTTAAACAGGCCATCTCCCACAGAGGCAAGGTGACCTGAAAAAGAAGAAACACTTTCATAAACTTTCTTTTTGTACATTTATTATTATTATTATTATTTTATTATTATTATTATTATTATATTATTGTTATTATTATTATTATTATTATTATTATTATTATTATTATTATTTATTACTTAATGTGTGGTGTGAATATTTTGCAGAGAATTTGCAGCTTGGAGATTAGGAGGAGGTGCAGAAATTACTAAAAGTATTATCCAGAGGGCTGAAGAGGTTGGTGAGTTGGTTTGGTCATTTAGAGAGGATGGAACAAAGTAGAATGACTTGGAGAGTGTATAAATCTGTAGTGGAAAGAAGGTGGGGTAGGGGTTGTTCCTAAGAAAGGTTGGAGGGAGGAGGTAAAGGAGCTTTGTATGTGAAGGGTTTAGACATCCAGCAAGTGTGTGTGAACATGTTTGATAGGAGTGAGTGGAGGCAAGTGGTTTTTATGACTTGATGTGCTGTTGGCATGTAAGCAAAGTAACATTTATTGAAGGTATACAGGGACACTGGTTAGCTGGACTTGAGTCTTGGTGGTAGAAAGTACAGTACCTGCACCCTAAAGGAGGAGTGGGGATATTTTGTAGTTTTGAAGTGTAGTACTGGTGCCCCTCTGGCAAGACAGTGATGGACCGAGTGATGGTGAACATGTTTATTCTTTTTCAGGTCACTTTTATCTCGGTGGGAGATTGTTGGTGTGTTAAAAAAATTATTATTGTTATTAATTATTGTTATTATTATTATTATTGTTGTTGACATTTACTTAGCCTTTGATGATTTTCTGCTGGAGCCCAGCCATGGGCCAGTCTCGTCTGATGTTTGCCTGGTCAACCAGGCTGCTGGTGACCCGCTGTCCTACACATCCATCATAGCCTGGTTGTTCTGACCCCTGGTGAACATGATCACATAAGATAGTCAAACATTAACACACCCTCATGGCACTGCCAAAATAGACTCGAGGACATTCCTGACACCCTCAAACACGTTGCAAGCTAGTACAGCACCAAGTGGAGCTTGTGTGCAACCAATGAAGCCTCCAGACTCACTGAAGTTTGTGTCAATAACCTCACTCAGGCTCTCACACCATCTGTCTGCTCAGTTATGAAAGAAGACTCGACTTACTTATCAGATGAATTAACCAAGAGCTCTACTCTCAGGCTACCTACTGGATTCTCTCTGGCACTCTCCTCATTCAAGATACGTTCATCATGCCTCTGCCATTCACTGTGACATAATGCACACTGCTTCTCTTGGGATACATTACTCACATAAATAGAGCAAAATTGATAATAATAAGAATTGAAAAACATTTAAAATAAATCGTAATAACACAGTTGCAAACATACTAGACTATTAAATAACAAAAGGCACAATACCGTGACTGGAACGATACACAAATAACCCGCACATAAAAGAGAGAAGCTTACGACGACGTTTCGGTCCGACTTGGACCATTGACAAAGTCACACTAACCAGAGGAGGAGCAGGACGGCTATATATAGGCAGGAAGAGGTGGTGGTAGTAGTAGTAGTAGTAGTAGTAGTACAAGAGTTGTATATAATACCGACAAGATGAAATTAAGACACATGCACAACACCCGGGCAAACCCCATCATAGACGTTTCGCCATCCAGCCAGCTACTGGATGGCGAAACGTCCACAACAAAGACAACCAGACGCGGCACATGTATCTTAATTTCATCAGTAGTTGTAGTAGTAGTAGAAGAAGAAGAAGAGGTGGTAGTGGTAGAAGTGGGAAATAAAAAGGACGAGCCAGTCAAATACAAAGGAAGGGGAGCACTGCAAGAGAGCTAGATGCCCACAGAGGGAGAGCAAGCACACAGAGGTGCGTGAAAGGGAAGTGGTGAAATAAATGAAGAAGGAACAGAAACACGAGACAGGAGAGAGAAAGACAACCCAGAGGAGAAAAGGAAAGAGGAAAGGGGAAGAGGAAGAAGAAGAAAAAGAAAAAGAAAAAATGTGGATTCAGGTTAAGTCACGGGTTTTCTGAAGATTGGAGCATTTTACAATGTAGTGGGAGAGGAAGGCATCTACAGAGACGAAGCCAGGGCTAAGGTTCATACAAGGAAAGTTGTGTATTAGAG